AGGTTCTTGATCTGTTAACAGTGTTTAAAATCTTCTGTCAATCGGGTTAACCCCGTTAATTGTTATGTAGTAAAACCAAAACATTTTAAAAGTTGGTGTATTGAAAAACCAAAACATTTTAAAAGTTCGTGTATTGAAAACCCAACGTTAAATAGTTTGGGTATTAATCAGGTAACCAAAAAATTTTTGTTATTTTTTCAGCCAATAAAATTAAGTTTGAGAATTTTTCAGGAATCTTCCCTTTTTAATTTGAGTATTTGACACTCTTTATCAACATTATGTACTTATCAATATGCTAATTTACTTGCCAACAAAACTAAGATGCTATATTGCTATGTTACCTAAATTAATGGAATTTTGTTTTTTCTAATGAAATATTTCTGTTTTTCTTTTGAAGGCATTAAAAATGTATATAACTATGAAGATTAATCTACTTTTTTTTTTTTGCTAAATAGTAAATGTCATTTATCATGAAAAATTTAGGTAATACAAAAAATATACTTATTATCAGAGTAACTTTGGCAAAAAAAATAAAATAAAGTTACAATAATTTGGGGATTAGTTTGGTGTTCTAGCGGATCCACAAGATCATTAGATCCCGCCATCGCTTCCTATGCTTTTTACGGAGATTGTGTTGCGAATCTGTCGATCAATATTCTTGGTCGTTGGATTGATGAATTGATTGTTGTGAAGAACATTATTTCTTTGTTTCCATATGTGGAAAATGGTAGCCTGAGCCGATACCTTCCTGAACAGATTTGGACTAACAGTATATTAATTTACTTTTTGGTCTAACAGTATGTAAATTAACAATTTAGAAGAAACTCGATATCTAATATGAAAATGTTAACCTCATGATTTTTTTTCTTACAACTCAAAGTCTAATACGAAATTACTAACATCATGATTGTGAATTTGTTTGCAATTTTCCTTTAATTAAAAGGGGAAAACATTCGTATGAAGAATTTGGAATTTATATATCGAGTTATTTACAAATGAAGGTGGTCAATACTTAAATGGGCTTGAGCTGGTAAAATATTCCAAAACATTCCTTAAAAGCCCACTCTGATGAGTCCACGAACCATTTGTATTTGCGTAGCCATGTAAACCGCGATCGGTGAAAGTTTCGTAAACCGGTTAAACCAACTTTACTTCGATTTATTGACCAAACCGAACAACTTAAACTCCACGTGGGAACACCTTAATCGCCTCACGACCAGACATTCAAAAGAGTGTTTGGACAATAAACAAACAAAAACCCTATTAACTGTGGGTCCCACCACGGCACTAATCGCCGACGTTTGTCGACCGTAGACCGCCGTCAACTACCGGTTTTAAAATTACGAATTATCAAGTTAAAATTTCTCTTACCGAAGTGTAGGAGATGATGGAGCAAGGAGCTTTGATTGG